TGGTATGAGTGTGTGGAGTATACCCAAGAGAGACAAAAGATGTGGTCAGGGTGCCAGGTAGCACAGAGCCTCTCAGAGAGGCAGGAGTTTGGAAGTTTGCATTTTGATCTAAAACCAGTGAAAGGTTTAATAGGGGTGAGTAGATTCCATCTGGCTTTTAGAAAGATCGCTGTGGCCCCTGAGCAAAGGTTTGGCTGTGGAGAGGCCCAAATCAGGGAGAAGAAGAGAAGTTTCCTGCAGTGGTCTGGGGGAGAGGCTCCAGGGGTGGGAAGGGTGGGGGTGTCACATCTAGGACACATTCTGAAAGGAAAGCCTTATAGGGTTTGCTGACAGTAGAAAAAGGGTGGTCAAAGCTGTCACCAAGTTTTTTGGCCTGGGCGCTGGAAGGATGAAGCTGTCTTCAAGGGATAGGGGCAAGCTGTTGGGAGTGTGGATGGACTCTCTCGAAAGTTCCTCCTGGTTGTGCAGTGAAAACAGTTTGAAGACACAAAGCCACATCCTCAACAGAACATCTTGTGTTATCTAAGCCACAAAGTTTCCCCCAGAGTCCTGGGCCAGGCGCTGAGAAGTAGAACGAGCCAAGCACCAGGCAGGCAGCTTTCTCCAGAAGCAAGCCACAAACCTTTACAGCACTCACGGCCCCACGTGGGTCAAGAGCATCACACTGCCAGGCGGGGAGGCGGGGGAGGAGGGTGCACAGAAGGGATAATATAGCTCAGCAGCGCCCCTGGCCCAGCCTCTCCTAGGAAACTGGGGCACCTGCCCATCTCCACCCTCCCCCCCGCCCCGCTCACCGATGTCCCCTCCGCCCCCTCTCTTGCCTGCCCCCTTCTACCCTCCCTCCACTCCTTCCTCCCATGCCCCACTGTGTGACAGCGAGACATAGCTCGTTCTCTGAAAGTTAGGTTGGCTGCTCAGTCTGCAGGAAGACACAAGAGACCCAGCAGATGGTGGGGCCTCTCCAGGATCAGCCTCAAAGGTCACCATCTGTCACTGCCCACCCGCTCCAGCCTCTTCCACATCAATGGAGTCTCTCATGCTGATTTCAGGCCCCTCGACAAGCTGTGCAGTGACATTTCCTGCGGGCTGACTGTGTGCCAGGCACCGTGCTAGGCCTGCTCTGGACATTAATTCTTAATTCTCCCACCTGGCCTACGAGGCCGTTCTCATCCCCATTTTACACATGAGGAAACAGAGGCACAAACAAGAGAAATCATTAGCCACAGTGGCAAAGACTATCTGGCCCGAGCATCCAAATTCTTAACCACCATGCTGGATAGCCACACCCCCTTCTTCAAGCCTCAGCTTTTCTGTCTGCTGCAAATGAATGAGGGACTCAATGCAATGATTTCTGAATCCTTCTCGCTCTTACAAGTCTGGGATTTGAAAACTGCTTCCTTCCAAGGCACTTGATATGTTCTTTCTCCCCGCAGCAATGGCTGCTCTCGGGAAAAGATCTTATTGGCTTATTCACACTATGGTGTAAATGACCTATAGGGTGAATGGAGGTGAAGGAAGTCCGGTGGAAAGAAGATTCAAACCCAGACCGAACTGGCTGCAGAACCTGGGCTGTCCCAACATAGTATTGCACAGGCCACATCCTCGGCCTTTAGGATCTCTTCCAAAACGTATTCTTTACACCCATCAATATTCCCCATCCCAGGAAGAGAGAGCCAAAATGAGGATGAAGGAAGAGGATGGGAACAGGAAGTAAGGGATATAAGCTGTCAAGTCAGACTCACAACTTCCCAGAGTCAGGGCTTCTGGTCCCCATGAAGGCCTGGGTCCCACTTTCCAACCCAGTTTATTTGGACAGACATTCTGGAAGGAGTCAGGCCTGGGAGGAGGGGACCTGACTTCCAGCCCTGCCCTGACAATTAATCGGGGCTCAGATTCCACATCTGTATGATGGGGAGTTGGTCCCTTCCAGTGCTACTAGTTTTGAATCTTGCTCACACCCTGACCCCGACAGCACCCCGTTAGCTTTCGCCAGGGAGGAAATCACGTCTTGTACCCCCAAGCCCAGAGCTCCTTTCTGAGCTGCGCACAGGAAATTCACCTTTTGGAGGAAGGGGAGCTATAATCAGAGCCTCTGGTGGAAGCTCCCAGCAGGCCCCACTTATTGGCCATGGCAGAGCGGGGCTGGGGCCGCAGCGGTGCCCTTTGAGAGAGACACTTGACACAGGAGCTGCCCCGGCCTGGGCGCCCCTCCCTCATGCTCTCCAGCCAGGGGCTCCTGCTCCCGACTCCCCCCACCCACCACCACCAAAATTTAACCTTTTTGCCTCTGTAAATGGCTTTTAAGTTTCTCACCCAGCCTCTCATTTCTATCAGTTTAATTATTGAGGAGCCTTCTTGTCACCAGCCTGGAACATTAACGCTGTTAAAAGGAACACAGGGAATGCAGACCACAGATGACTGGCTCCCTCTGGCTCTCTCCCCATCTCCCCTGCCCTGCCCTTCCCTTTCCAACATGCCCCCTCTGCCCGCCATTCCTTTTCTCCTCCCCAGGCCTCTACCTCCCAGTCCCATCGCGCTTTCTGTGCAGCCAGGGAGACTCCTGACCCCCTGCCCCATCCCCCTCATCTCTCTGCAATTTGAGGAGGCACAGATGAAACTGAGGCCTCGGCCATGTTCCTAGGTGACCAGATGGGCAGAGATAAAGGAACACCTGGGAGCCCCTAGGCTGGTGAGTCACCCTCATCCCACCAGAGACCTTTCCCCAACCAGAGAGGGACTAGAAGTCAAAGTGCACTCCCATGTGGGGTCACTGGATGCCCCACCCCAAAATAGCCACATTTCCAAGAACATGCTTTAAGTCCTAACACTCACGGATCCTATTCTTGGAGACTTTACCCTGTGTCGTGACACTTCTCCACTCCTTTGAGCCTCTCCACCTCCCTATGAAGTGGGCACTGGCTCGCCCCTGGGAGATGGCGGGGCAGGCGGGGTCACTCACTGAGGTCACAGCCATGAGGGCCCCATCAGGCTGTCTTCTGAAACACCCAGAGTCACCGAAAGCGTTTAATAAAAAGCTCCAATAAGGAAACTTTTGGCCTTTTCTAAGACAGGGGTCTAGGCCCCACCCAGACAGACTGACAAGGAGTCTGGGGCTCATCCCCTCTGCTGATGGCCCCAGGTGGCCTCACCTCTCAGGCCTGGGGCAGGTGGGCTGAAGCGATGACTCAGCTAGCCTAAGCCACCGCCAGGCCAGGGCCTGGGCAGCTGAGCCCTGCTTCCTCCTCCCCTCTGGGTCTCCACTCCTCAATGCAAAACAGCACAGGTGGGAGACCTGGACCAGGCTACCCGTTCCCAAACCATCTACGAGGAATGACGTCTGGCAGTACAGCCCCATAGGGGTTGTTCTGATCGTCTACTGCAAGGGCAAGGTTTCCTTCAAGCCTTCTGTTTCATCTTAATCTGGCATTCTTCATAATGCATCCATTTGCTTGAAAATTAAGATAGTGTTTCCATCTTGATCATCACGTAAAACCAACACTCCAGGAAGAAGGCCCATAAGTGAGAACCACATGGCACATGACCCCGGAAAGTTCCAACCCCCACCCCATGCTGTGACAGGACAACTCTAACTCTCTTTCTTTCCCACCCACCCCCACCCCCCTGCCCATCTTGATGGCCTTCTACACCATTCATCCCCAATTCTACCCAGGCCCCTAGAAATGCCCCCCAAGTACTATGTATCATGGGACTGGGCAAATGGCCTCAGCACTTCCCACTCTGCATGGGCCCAGACAACCTCTCTCAGCCCACTGTGCCTAATTCTGGAGACTTTGAGGAGGGAAGGGGCCACCTCCAGAGGCTGAGAACCTGACACCAGGGTGAAGGAGGGACCCAGCAGCTTCCTCTGTGCATTCCTTCCTCCTCCTCCAGCATATTCTCCCTCCCTCTCTCTCTCTCTCCCCCCCAACACACACACCCCTACCCCTTACACACACACACACACGCACACAAGCACAAGCACACACAAACACACAGAGCAAACAAGGCAGGCTCCAAGAGAAGAGCGGCTCATAATTATTGGTAAAATGCTTGTAATGTTTTTCTCTCTACCCGGTAGCTTTCAGTTGTTTTAGCAGCTTAGCAAAGCACTTGGCTTCAATTGAATTGCAAATCAGCAGCTCTTGCCCCAGGAAGAGAGGATGGGAGGTAGCAAGGAGGGGGTGGGGAAGGATTCCAGAAGGAAAGGGAGAAAGGTGTGCAAGAGAGAAGGGCAGAAGGAAGGAAATGAGCGAGGGAAGCTTGGTTCCAGGCAGGGAGCAAGAGAAACAGAGACTGCCTGCTCCTGCCAGGCCCCTTCCCTGTCCTCGTCCAGCCTCTGCAGGTGCTGTAGCCCAGTGCCCCCTCCAAAAAAATCAAGACACATTTTATAAGCATAATCTTGGGGTGGAGTAGGAGGGCCACACTGGGCTTTCTCAGCTACTAGACGAAAAACATATCTTTCTTGAGCATTGCAATTATTTGAAAACAATGTCAAAACAAAAGTCTTGCTTTATGTCTCCGGCAATCTCCAACATTCGAATTTCCATTCTGCCTATCTATCTCTTCGACTCTGTCCTTTTCTGTCTACCTGTATTTCTATGTATCCATCTATCTGTCTTTTTACATATCTGTCCCCCTATCTCCTCCTCCCTTCTGTTGTTTTCCAGCACTTCCTTTTCCTCTCTTGGTTCAGAATTCCCCACAGAGGAGCTGAGTTGATCAAGGAGCTCCGGGCGAGGGTGCTGTTTCAGCACCATGGTCAGCACCACGGAGCTGGGGGCCCTCCTGACATCTTCACTCCGCTGAACCTAAGCTCTGACCACAGGACTGCCCCCAAATTCTCAGATACTGCTCCGGGGGGCGGGGGGAATAACTCTCTTCCTCTTCCTCAGAGTCCAGGAGGGAAGAGGAGAAAGAAACTAGCCAGGCCCAGCACCCTGGGTGTGGAGGGCTGGGGCTGTCGGAAGACCACCTCTGGGGCCAACCAGCCAGGCACTAACCTTGAAGAGGCGAAGGATGTTGGCCACCATGATGGAGACTGAGCTCCCCGAGGCACCGATGACACCCACCACACGTTCAGGTTTGGTGATGATGGGTGGGCCGCCACTGCCACAGCGGACCTCCGTGCCATCCTTCTCGATGAGCGCCTGCACAAAGGTCAGTGACTGCTCGAGGGCATGGGTGTCCCTCGAGCAGGTGTCCAGAATGCGGGCGCCCAGCGTGATGTTGGGCAGCAGGTCCGGGTCATTGTTGATGCGATCCAGGGCAAAGAGCATGGCCTCCAGCCGGTGGATGCCTTTCTCCTTCTTAAGTTCTCCGCAGGCCTTGCCCTCTGAGCCCCGGCCGTGCACTGGGAACAGGCCCCCCAGTGTGATGTCCCCATCTATGCGGATGGAATTCATGTGGGGGTGGCCCTTGGGCTTCCCCAGGGAGAAAGGCACCCAGGGGCCATAAAGGCTAAGGAGCAGGCAAAGAGGCAGCTGGGCCCACCACCAGCCCCAGCCTGTCTTCCCAGGCATCTCGGAAATCCCTAGAGACCCATGAATGGCAGGCCCCACTCCTAGCCTTGGCAGGCCCCTGGCCCCACAGCCTGGGTGAGCATGGGTGGGTCAGCTCCCACAAGTCTCTCCAGGGCAGCTTCAGCAGCAGGGTGGCTGAGGGCGGCCAACGGGGTAACCCACGCTGGTGCTCCCCGCCACTCGGGCAGTGCTCAGTTGCCGACACGGGCCATGCTCCCAGGCAGCCGGGAGCGGCCAGGGAGAAGCAAAGTGCTAGTCTCGGTCCCCACGTCCTGCAGGCCTGTTCTTGACGGAGGAGCGTGAAAAGAGAGTGCTCCTAGCTTGACGTATCTTGGCATCAAGGAGAAAACAGCTTCAGTGCTTTCCTCCTACCAACCTTAGAAGGGAGAGAGAGAGAGAGAGAGAGAGAGAATCAAACAGAAGCCCAAAGAAGACATTAGCTATTCTGATCTCTCATCAGGAGCCTGAGAGAAGGAGATGCTGGAGGTTATCGCCACAGGCTCCACAAATCTGAACTTGGTTTTCTCCCAGCTGCTGCTCAACTCTGGTTCAAGTGGGAGAGCCTGAGGCAGAAATTAGGTCATGTTCGAAGATTTCACAAGGCCTGTACCCACTGCCGTCAGAAATCCGGGCATCAGAGAGCACACTCCCCAGGAACAGCCTGGAACTGACTTGGGAGGAAGAGAGGTCTTCCTCAACACTCACCCACATGAAGGAGTAGCAAGAAACCACTTCTACAGGGTCCCACCCCATTTTAGAGATGAGGAAACTGAGGCCCAGAGCAGGAGAGCATTTTGCCCAAGTCACACAGGTAGTGAGAAGCAAAACACCACGCAGAACCCAGCTCCCCGCTCTGGAACGAGAGACACTTAGGCTCCTTGGGGACTCAGGGATAAGGAAAGCCTGCAAGGCCCCCTGCAGAACAAACGAAGCTGGGAGCTGCTCACGCTTAGAGTGAGCAGCCAGGAAGAAGCTGGGGCTGTCCGGGTTCAGACTCCTCCTCCTGAATCAGGCAATGAAATTTCACATTTCCACCCCAGCTGCCCAGCCACCCCAGGACAGAGGGTAACCCCAGGGGCTCCAAGCTCAAGAAGGCAAGCCTCCTTTTCATTTGCTTGGCCTCCTTCCCCACCATCTTTCTCATGGTCTTTATCTCTCAATTTCTCCACTGCTCCTCCTCTCTCCCCCACTTCCTCCCTCTGAAAGTGGGGCTCAGGTTACGGCCTGAGCTACTGCACATTATTATGATCGTTGTCATTATTATTGTTGTTGTGATTAAATATTTATCTGCAAGGGTAGAGGAGAGAACACCAGCTCTTCCTCATTCTTACTGCTAATTTGGGCTAATTTCCCCTGGGGTTCCTTCCCTTGCCCCAGCCTCCCGCTCAAAGCCAGCAGCAACCTCCCTCCCCTCAACTTAAAAGGCCACAGGGAGAAAAGCTAGAAGCTGAGTCAGGGATTGGCTGGGGGGCTGACTCCCAGGTTTCCCTCCTTATGGGCTTGTCAAATGAAGACCAGCAAGCCACGTGCCCATCCTATGCCTCAGTTTCCCTAGCCATTTAGAAGAAGGGCTTGCGTTTGGATTGGGAGGTTTTCCTAGAGATGTGATCCCTGCATCCAGGCCAAACAGGGGTCTCAGAGCCACCTGTCCCTTACTTGTAATTCCCACCGCAAAGGCCCTGACTGCTCCAGATCTGGGGAAAGGAGAGGGAAGAGGGTACAGCACCCCAGAGTCCAGCCTCAACTCCTGGGTTTCTCTGGCAAGTGCCTTCTGAACCCTCACCTCACCTCTGACCCCTCATCAAAATGTTCCCTCACCCATTAGCTCCTCAGAGGCCAAGAACACAGCTACTAATTCCCCGGCACCCCATTCTGCAGGGGAACCAGAAGCCCGGAGGCATCCCATAACCCTGCCAAAGTCACAGAGCAAGTCAAGAGGGGGCAAGACTTGGGGAGAGACCTGGGGCAGCCTGCAGGAAAGCTTCCTAATCCCACTGTCCCCCATGAAGCCAGGAGCCAGTGACCTAGCAGTGGGGGGGGGCGGTCAGTGCTTGGGGGAAGGCTGAGAGTTAAGAGCTGTTAAGATGCTGGAAGGGGGCAGCTACCCCTGGATGGAACTGTCATCTCCACCTCCACCTCCCTGTGCCTGTGTTTATCAGATCGCTTTCCCCGGGGACCACGGGGACCACGGGGAGTGAGGGGCTATGGGGGACTCAGGGCACCGCAATTCAGACAGGAGCAACTGGAGAAGCCTCGGACAACTCCCAAAGTCCTGCACCCACCCTGCCGCCCTCTGGAAAGGCCTTGGTTCCCAAATCTCTAAGACAGAGGGGTTGGAGGAGGAGGCGGTCTGGGGGCCATACTGCCCCTGCAGGGCATTTTCAGTTGTGACAGGGATGGGAAGGAGTCCCCTCCGGGCCTGCACCATGAAGCGTTGTCTTGTCCAAAGGCTGGAAGGCCTGGGGAGCAATGACAACGTACTGCCCCGTGCAGGGCACCATACTAAGCGCTTGGCTTACATTGTCGGGTGGCGCTCCCACCCCCAGGAGCCGGGTGGCGCTCCCACCCCCAGGAGCCGGCTGGCACTCCCACCCCTCCCGCACAGATGAGGAAGCTGATGCTCCGACGCTCACACAACGACCTCCGCCCCAGGCACACAGCGCCGTGCAGGCCCCGCGCCCCCCCGCGCCCGCCCAGGGGTCCTCCCGAGCACCCTGCAGGTCCAGGCTTGGTCGGCCTGGATGAAAAACGGAGGGATGGCTGGCATCACGACAGGCTGGGTGCCGAGGCCGCAGCAGGGCCGATGCAGGCCGGGAGACCGACGAACAGCAGCTTCCAACAGTCGGGCCCTGCTCAGGCTTCCAGATTCTTCGTGAGGGCTCGCCACTGGCTTCTCCTGCAAGCCTGAGCCCCTCTAGGCCGAGCAACGTGCACACAGAGGCACATGTACGCACACACCACCGCACACGCACACAGCACACAGACACAAAAGGACCACACACCACACACACACCACACAGACAATATGCACACGCATCATACACACATACACATACCACATCCCACATACACACCATATACCCGACAGCTACACACTGCACACACACACACCACACACACACGAACCACATACACACCACACACCATACAGAAACATACACACACCGCGCACACCATATGCACACACACACCCCACACCTACCACACTAACACACACACACGCGCGCGCACAATGGGGAGAGGCAGAGGCAACATGGAGGAAGAAGGCCTCGGTGAGAAGAAAAGCAAATCCTTGCAGGATTGGAATCAAGACCTCAAGGCCCTGGCCCTGCCCCAAGCTGGTCAGACTGCTCACGGGCTTCCCTCCGCCAGGACTGGGCCCCACCCCAGCCTGCAGTGGGTCCCACTCCATCCCTCAGCCCTGCCAGGTCTGCCTTCACTGAACATCTCCAAAGAGCTAGGCAAACCACTGCCTCTTTTAGCCTCCCCTCCTTCCTTTGATCCTGTAACAGGAACAAGGGAAAAGTAAAAATACTCTAAGTGAAAGGAGCCACCAGGAACAGAGCCCGGGGGTGGGGCAGCAAGGGGAGGCAAGGCCATCCTTCCAGACGCCACAGGGCTGCCTCCACCTTAGGGAAGGGGGACCAGATAGGGGGAGGCTCCGAGTCCTCAGACCACCCCCCCCAAATCTAAAATAGCCAGGGAAGCTCACACCTCAGACGTTTGGGGGTTGGTGGAGGGGGACATATCCCTCCCCAGATGAAATCACCAGGAAGGCCGCATGTCTAAACCAGTGTGCCCACCCACTCCCAGGGGGCCTCTTATTCTATCCTTCCCTCTCCTTCCCCACCTCTCTCCTCAACCCTGTATTCTCCTCCCCTCCACCCCCTGCCAGATCCTTGGCTCCAGACAGGCAGGAGGGATGAGCAGAGGGAAGAGCACATGGTCATCTCCACACACAACAGTATTTTTCAAAACATCCTCTTCAATGAAAGGGGATGTGAGGAGAGCCAGGGTGGGGGGGGGTGGCAGTCTACCCTACCCCCCAGCCCAGGCACCCCACTATCTGAGGGCCTCTCTGATATCTGCAGGCCTGCAGGGAGAAACTCCCCCAACCTGCCTCAGTGACCCCTTCCAAGTCCTAACGATCTGGATCCCATGCTTCCTCACGTCTAACCTAAATCCTTCCCTCCACAACCAGGGAGCGAGCCAGGAAGAACCACAAACCACGGAACAACAACCAGATCCATAGAGAGCCACTGTGATTTACTAACCTCTGATTTACTTTTCACTAAGCTGCTTTTTATTCTCCCAAAGCTAAGGAAAGAGAATTCTCCCAAACCCCAAAGTCAAGGACAGAGTCAGAGGGAATGACCCTGCACTCTGCTCCCGGGGATGGGGGCCGCACCCAGAGCTGCTCTCAAGCTCTGGGCTCTTCCACCTGCCGCGCCCCCAGCACACCCCCCAACCTCTGCCTTCCTTAAGCCAGGCCTCCTCCCTCCCCTCAGCTTTTCCACTCGCCCTCCAGAACTTGAGTCCTCTCTCTTCACTTTTGCCCCTGCAGGTGGCCCAGTCCAGATGCTCAGAAGAGCTAGGCATCGTGGATGGATGAGTGGAGCCTGTTTTGAATCTCCCGAGTTGTTTAGATGCCTCATCGCCCACATCTCACACTTCCCTAGAAGGAGCTGGCAGCTTGGCTCCCCAATGGGAAAAGTGAGGGAGAACCTCCTCCTATCCCCCTTGGGACTCCACACTGGCCCAGCAGAGGTGTGCTTTGCTGGACAGTCTCCTCCCAAATGGACAGGGCCTAGACCCAGGGAGGTAACAGGAAGCTGCCCCCCCCACCTTGCTGCATAGCAACAAGGCCCATAGTTCAATCTCCACCCGTGACTCCCGGTCCATGGGGAAAGGGGGGATGGCCAATTAGCTCCCTCAAACCCCAGCAGCCCAACCCTCTCCTCCACAGGGACCACAACTTGGGGGATCGTGTCAGACTCTGCTTGCTATCTCTGCATCCCAGCCTGGCAAGTGCCTGGCACCCCCCACCAGGGGTTGTGGAAGTGAATGAATGATGTGATGTGAGTGAAGGATTCTGGGCTCTTCCCACCCTCTCTCCCAGGTGATCAATGTCAACATTAATAGAGAAGAAGCCCTGCTCCCAGACACTCCCCGGGCCAGCCAAGCCATGTTTGAAGAGCCAGGAGGAGGGCACAGTGGAGGTCTGGGCTCCGTGCCCCCTTCCCCTCCCAGCCCCAAGCAGCTCCAGCTCACCAGCCTGTATCAGGAACCCTCCCAAGTGCCTAAACCACGTATCTCATTTCCCAAGCCATCCCCTCCCTGCTCTACTGGAACAGCAAGGGCCTGACTCAGAAGTGA